AAAAAATTTAACTGCAAATGAAAAATATTGCGAAGACGTAGCATTAAATACCATTTCAGTTTTTCTTTCTTCCTTCTTCTTTTTCTCACTTTTTACACACCATATATATATTTTTTTTGTTCCATGTGTATGATGAAAAACTAATTTACGCTTTTTTTTGTTTGCATTGTTTAGTATAGCTTCATTTAGAGAAAATTATGCATTCAGAAAAGTGCTTTAAGAAATATTAAACATCTAGAAAGATGATTGTTTTTTTCTTAGTTTATATGCACGCAGAAGACAAAAATATTTTTATCTTAAGATCTTGCTTTTATGGAAACAAAACAAAATCAGTTCAGTTGTTTATAGTAGGGGATTGGTTTATATCAAATTGAATTCTATTTATCAATGTAAGAAACGTTGTATGAAATAAATGAATAAAAAGAAACTGCTTTTTTGGCATTCTAACGTAAATTCAATACTGTTTCATCTTACTAACAATTTGTAAAGAAGTGAAGTCATGAGATACAATTCAATTTCTAATAAATAAATGAAATGTAGAAAACTGAATTTTATATAAAAAATAATCAATTGATATTGTTATTACTTGTTTATTAGATATTGAATTAAAACACATGATTTCACTTCTTTACATATTATTATTATTATTGTATCTAGTAGAATTTCATACATGAGTTAAAATAACTGGTAAGTATATAGGTATTTGGAATACATTCATTACAATGCAACATCAATGAAATTTATTGTTGGTGACAGGTAATATAGTTGTCAATGTAATATATAGCATCACTATTTTCTAGTTTCTCGTATGTTTTTTTTAAATAATTGTCTAAGATCAAAACTCCATATTTATATTAAATTCAGCTTTCTATATTTCATCTATTCATTAGATATTGGTTCATCTTCAGAAATAATCATACAGCCTTTTTTCTTCAAATGAAATATATCCGTCGAGTAGGAAGGTGTCTTTTTTTCTTTTCTTTTTGTTATATGTTGTTATATTATAAAATGTATGCACAACACAAACGTTGTTTCAAAATAGTTTTATTTTTTTCTGCCGAGAACCGTTAGAAACAAGCAGTTAGTGGAATGGTATTCACCTGTTATAATCAAAATAATGGAAAGTATATCGTCAAACAGAAACTGTGTCTTATAAGAAAAAAGAAAAAGATTGTAAAGAATATGTACCGTCACTATAGCATTAGAAAAACTAGTCATAATGTGTTTATGATTTGTTTGCTTTCTTCATACATTTTGTTTAGCAAAAGTAATACAAATACTGTTTCAGGTTTTAAATATATTGTACATCATTACGTTATTACGATTTTGTGAAATAGCAAACAGCTTGTTAAATCTGACAATTCAGCATGAAATTTTGATTTTAAAATATATAATAAGGAAGTAAATAAAGAAGAATATAATGAACAGTAATACTTTTTGAAATAATTTCATTAGTTTTAATGAGAAGGATAATAAGAATAACAAAAAAAAGAAAAATAACATGGAAAATAACAAATACATATAAGGTGAGAGTGAGTATGAATATCTTCATTAAAGCGGAGTGTCTTATCCACATTATACATTTATTCTCATCCTCGCCATGGAGGATGCCGTTCTTGTGCAGATTCTTTTCGAAAATTAATCCGTCGTTAAATATAAATGGCGATCATTGGTAAAGAATGTTTTGCTATCAAATTCAGTTGTATTCCTAATAATTCAAGTTGATCTTGATGTACTGCAAAAAAATAAATTTGATTTAATATTATAAGTTCTAGAGAAAATTGGTCTTACAAACAATATATACTATAATCTTTTTAGTTTTCTACAAGACATTATTGCTTTCTCTGATTTAGTTTGGGTATACTCTATACTAGCATCTGTGTAAAATGGAATAAGACTGTGTATCAAACTCATCTTACGTTAGTCCGCTAGAGCAAATACAATTTATTGTTTTTTTGCAGAGTTTTCTATATACCATATAAGTTTTTCTTTGAAAGTATGTGAAGTTTTACCTTGTTTTTAGCTCACATATCTCGAGGGTGATATGGGTGTGGTTGCAAGATACTAGATAGAACTAATTCCTATTTCTAGAGCTTTTTCAATAAATTATTTAACCACTAAATATTGGCACATTTATGTTTTGCTATATTTTCATTTAATACTAAGAGTTTAACTAATTCCGATACATATTCGATCTTTTATAAAATTCCTAAATTCAATATGAGAAGTCTTTGATTTTTGTATAGATATAGAACAATCGATCTCCTTCTATACTTTTACAATTGTTCTTTTTTTATCTTTTTAAAGGTAAATTCTACTATAGTGAAGAACCTCTTGCTCACAATATAATAACAAAAGAAGAATGTAAAGCTATGCCTAATCATCAATGGCAAAATCAGCAATATAATTTTGATAATTTAGGCCGTGTCATATTATTAAAATAATTTATTTTTGCTTCTAGAGTTTATTTACATTATTTGTGTTATCACTAAGAGATGGTTAAGTACAAATAATGAATAATGGTATTGATGTTGCTGATGGTGATAAACAATCAATAAAAAATTATAGTGAAGCTAAATTAATTTATTTTAATTGTAAGTTTTTTTTTGTTCTTAACATGTTTGTTGGTGTTGTTGTTAAAAATTTTCATAATTGTCGAGTTGAACAGGAAATTGAAGAACAAGCTCGAAATAAATTAAAACGTAAGAAAAACTTAAACATCAACAGTATCTTATAAATAATTTACCATATTATGCAAATTTTTCAACAACTCGAAAAAATTTGCATGATTTATTTATTAATAAATATTTTGGTTTATTTATTGCTATTATTATTATTCTTAATATTATTACAGTGTCACTTGAATATTATTCGATGTTACATATAAGAAATTATTTAATAAATTTTTATTTTTAGAATTTAACAAATCTTTTTTGATTTAAATAGAAGATAGTTAAAAACTAGATAGAGATCAATATTTCATACGAAAGAAAAAGTAACAAATATTATTAGTTTTATTCAAATATAAATAGGGTGTCGAGTAGTCAGAGTTGGGCGTCGACCAACCATTCATTTTAGCTCTGTAAGTCAAATGTTCTTGTGCGTCCTGCCACCCAACAGAGATTACTTAGATATTTCTATCCATTCCTAGCGGTCGTAAATGAGATTTTTTGTCCTTATTCTCACTGTATGCAACAATAATATGTATTAGAATGAAAGCATCTTGATGATGTGAACACTATCGCTTCTAATTGAGTAAAAATTTTATTTTTAGGCATTGACTGAATTTTTTGACTGTTGTAATTATATTTTCAGTTATTTTCTTAATTGAATTTCTATGAAAAGTAATCGCATTCGGACCATCACGTTATTTTAAAGATAAGCAAGAAAAAAAACAGCTGATTTTGAAATATATTTTTTTGTTTTAAAATGGAATCAATTGGATTTCTTTATTGTAATTTTATCAATAGGTAGTATTGTAACGGAAAAAATGAGAAATGAATATATTATTCCAATAAATTCGTATTATAAGAGTATTAAGAAGTACACGAAGTAAATAAATTAAAAAATAATCTATTAAATAAGAAGTTTTTGTTATTATTTTAGTATCTAAATTATTAAAAATTGCTATAGGTATTCAAGCTCTAATAGATACTATTATTGAAGCTCTTTCACAAGTTGGAAATTTAGTAAATAAAATAATTTAACATTTTTTTGCTTTTAAAAAAATTTGTTTTTCAATTAGGGTTTTTTATTTTTGCTACATTTGGAGTTGAACTATTTCGTAGATTAGAATGTAATGAAGAACAATTATATAGGGCTATTGATAAACATGCAGATTTTCAAAATTTTGGTATAGCTCTACTAACATTATTTCGTGTTGCAACAGGTGATAATTGGAACAGTATTATGAAAGTAAAATAAATAATTTAAAAGAAACCAAAAAAGAATGTATTATTTTTAAAGGATACTCTACGTCAAGATGATTTATCGTATACTAATAAATATCATTTTATAACAATTATTTCACCAATTTATTTTGTTATTTTTATTCTTCTGGCTCAATTTGTTCTTCTCAATGTTGTTGTTGCTGTACTTATGAAAAAAACTTGAAGTAATTTATTTATATGAATAATTCCTGATTTTTGTTTTCTTTTTTATTAGGATTCAAATCGAATAATTGATGATAATATTCAAATTAATCAAAAACTTCAACTTGATATTTCCAATCAAAATTCTATTGAACATTCTTTAGTTAATATAAATACACTCAATAGTGAAGATTCTATTCGTTATTAAGTATTATAGTTTTCTATTAATGATAAAATAAAATTTATCAGTCGAATTCTGGAGAATGTAGGTGTAAGGATAGAACAAGATTCGTATCCACACCCAAACATTTAATACGGTTGACATAGCACCATCATTTATACATCTATTCATTTTGAATATAGAAAATACCATCAGAAAAGTCCAATAGGGATTTTTTCATTACAAAGTTTGAAGAGATTTTCATATTCCATCTTTTGAAGAAAATCAAATATTATACGGTTCATCTCTGTTAGTTTTTTGAAAATAAATATTTTGTAAATGTTACATTTCATATCCTTCATTTTTATTCATATCATAGTGAGTTTTGTTTCCATTTAATTGGTTTTCTTAATATCACTATGAATCACTATAAGACGTTTTAGGTTGTTTTTCAATAGATAAAATCTCTATCTAATCTTATCCTTGTTTGACTTGTGATATTGTTAGCTACATTCTTGTTTTATTTTCAAAATGAATATGAATAATACAACAAAGATAAAGTCAATCGATTTCAAAGGTACCACACATATTTGAGAGTATGAAGTGAGGTTGTAAAGTGAAAGACAAGATTAATAATCCAATCCACATCCTCACACTCCATCAAAAAATATTGAAAAGCATACAAAACTTCATTTAAAACACTTTTACTCAAAAAAGAATAAATCCGTAAAGCTTGATGATTCTGTAAATGTCTAATATATGATTAAAAATAAATAATTGATTGATTATATAATTTTGTCAAGGATTAGCAAGCGCAGTGACATCTGCAGCACTCAGTTCTCGTGAATAAAGACGAAATTCATCTAAATAGCCATAAAAAGGGCCAGAAACACTTGAATTAGCACTGCACCCAGTTACTAGCGAATTACCCAATGTCACCGTGTTTATTCCTCCTGAACCTCCAGACGTCATCGCACCTGTAGAACCAATTAAACTTCCATTCACATACAATCGAAGACCATTTGTAGTCGAGAAAGTGGTGGCGACATGCGTCCAGACGTTGGTCGACAGAACAGGACCTACTACATCTTTACTGCCACCGCTATAAATGGAGCTTATTATTTGTCCACTCGAAGAAAACCCCATAAAATCAGCACACCAGCCTCCTCCACTTGATAGCGTCGAAACATGAACAAGACCTCCTCCACCCGTTGATGTTCGTTGAATCCATAGAGATATCGAATATGGATAATTTGCGATTCCAATAATGGCAAATCCATATAACTAAATAGGTCATATTCAATAGTCTTCTGTCATTGTTTTAGACAAGTTTTTCTAGTGAATATTTGCTTTTGAAGAGTTCCGAATTAACATAACTTTCTATTTCAGATATTTTCAAAGAAACAGTTTTTTTTACATATAGATATATGTTACTCTAGTACAAAAATACACTGGGTGAGGGTGAGAATGTAGGTGAGATGAAGATAATATTTTCAATCTTCAACAATGTCCACACTCTATCTGAGACTATACTGTAGAAAATAAACTGCGTTCCCATATATTCAACTATCTTTTGTTTATAGCCTATGAATTATAAACAGTTTAATTAAGTCTATTACATACCTGATAATAAGATGACGATGAATTAAAGATTAATCCTTGACCTACTCTACCAGGTGCTAACGTAACATTATTAGCTGTTCCATTGATTCTCAGTGGACCTGAATCAAATGATATTCCACAATCAAATGAATGCCATGTACTCAAAGTAGCATCCGAAAGAATATCACTTGCACTTCTAGCATTCATATAGAGTGTAACTTGATCAATGTAACTAAATATATAAGAACAATATAGAATAAACAACATTTCTAATACGAGATGTTTTAAACTCAACTAAATGAACAAAACCAATGATCAAATTGTTTTTCCTTACCCGTCATATGTGTTATTGCTACTATTATAATAGTTTCCAATATTAATAGCACCACTTGCGCCTAAATATGGTCCAGCTGAGCTACGATTAGTATCTTGAACTCCGTTCAAATAAATGATTTGTGTCTGAGATGAATTATCATAAACAAATGCTATGTGATACCAAGTATTTGCCGGCAATGTAGTTCCACTTGTGACATCATCATTCCAAAAACCCATCTTCAAGTTTCCACCAGAAAATATAAGATATAAATTGTGATCTTGAGTTAATGCTGCATATTGACTGAAAAGTCCATAAGAAGTACCACTGGTTAATGTAGTAGGATAGATCCACATTTCTAGTGTAAAACTAGTGGAAACAAAACTTTGATAGGTTGGTATTGTGATGTATTGGTTGCTACTATGGATGAGTCTCACAAGATATCCACCGTTGATACCTTGCGCATAAAAAGTAGGTGAATTGACAGTTGTTCCACTAAGATTTGATATGCTATCAGCAACATTATTTTCCATTGCCCAGTAACTATGAGCATCATACGGGTACGCGACTATTTCAAAACATAAAATAATCAATAATATTAACAAGCATTTCATACTTTTCAATAGTCAGTTACGGAAATCTATTTAACAACTGAAGTGAATTGAGGAGTTCTATGCTACTGAAAACTTTCGCTTTTGGTTTTTGATAGATGCTAGTGGAGTTTTATAAAACTTTACATGAGCGATAAATACGGGAAAGCTGCACCTACATCCTCGACGCCGAATGTTCAAGTTTGATGAATGTCTAATACTTATGTTTAGGTTCATGTAGATATGTAACACAATGCTTTATAGTTCGATAGATATTGCGTCTATTGTTGCTGTAATCAGTCATTCTTCTAGAAGTAATGATTATAGCAAAAGTAAAATATGCAATTAAGTTATCAAAAGGTTTTCTAAAAGTTCAGAAACCGTTTAGGTAGGCTTCGTAGCCTTGATATAATGAAATTTTTTGAAGTTTTATTGAGCTTGAAAGCCTCTAACTCATTTTCAAAATCGTTTTAGTACATACTATGTCAACTATATTTCTCATGATCTTCAAGTGTTTCAGTTAGTAACAAAAACAGAACTCTATAAATTTTTTTGATAGCATCGTATTTTACAGTGTACAATTTGATAATCTTCACTAGTTCGGATCGTTATGAATATCTTAAGCCTAGCCTTAATATTTATCAAACAAACTTGTAAAATGTTTCCACCATAATTATCACTTCGCCTGGTTTCTTCTGAAACTGATATTCTCTCTTACCCTGTATGCATAGGCTAGCGGTTGTTGTTGTTGTAGTTGTCGTAGTTGTCGTAGTTGTTGTTGTGGTTGTTGTAGTAGTTGTTGTCGTGGTTGTTGTTGTTGTTGTTGTTGTTGTTGTTGTTGTTGTTGTTGCTGTTGTAGTTGTTGTAGTTATTGTTGTCGTTGTTTCTGTAGTTGTAGTGATGGTTGTTGTGTCTGTAGTTGTAGTTGTAGTGGTTGTTATTGTTGTCGTGGTTGTTGTCTCAGTAGTTGTAGTTGTTGTCGTGGTGATTGTTGTTGTTGTTGTATTTGTGGTTGATATGGTGGTTGTTATTGTTGTGGTGGTTGTTATGGTGGTTGTTGTCTCAGTAGTTGTAGTTGTCGTTGTTGTATCTGTAGTTGTAGTGGTGGTGGTTGTTGTTTCTGTAGTTGTAGTTGTCGTTGTTGT